TACCCATAAGAAGCATTTTAAACTTGAGATGAAAAATGGCGAAAGACATAGGAATTGGCATTCACCTCATAGAGCTACAAAGGAGTGAAGCCACTACTCCAAACTTGCACAACTTAATAATCCCATAAGACTTGTTAACACAAAACGTCCTTATGTTTGACCAATTACGTGCAAAACGTCTATACTTTTCAATTTTTTACATTTTCACCCTTATGTCAATGTTTTATTGTGGAAAACGCCATTACATCCACCTATTGTGAGTTTTACTATTAAATGCATACCTGGACTCACTTTTAATTTGAAATTCAAAGGGTAAAATGGTGATGCCACTTCAAAAACCTCTTCTTCCCCGTAACATGCACGGTTCATCTTCCATCTTCTCCACTCTTCACATTTCGTGCGCTCCCATTTTCTTCATCATCTTCTCCTATCATCTAAAATATCTCCTATTGTAGTGGTCTATTCTCTGCACGCAGCGGAGGGCGAACTGAGAGAAGATAATATTTCACCCTGGGTCTGTTATTTTTTATTTTACAGTTCAAAATTTTAAGCTTTGAGTAATCAAGTTTTCCTTACTAGTTTTTATGGAATATATTCTTGTTTTTCACAGGATTTTGTGTCGAATGAAAATGCTTCATCCGTTTATTAAAGAGCATGGTGACGAGATACCCATATACGGTATAAACGTTGTCCATCCATGATCATTGTTTTTTCTTCATTAATTTTGTAGCTTTGTGGAATTAAATATTGGAACTTTATTGAAATGGGAATTTGGAAATGACCTTCAACACCGTGGGGGTAATTTTGGAGGGTTTGTAGGTATTCTTCTGAAACTACGTGACATTGGTTGGGAGTTGAAAGTTCTGTGGTTTTGGTTGGGTTTTGAGCATTGTATGATGTGTAGTCTATTATTACCCTGATTTGATCAGTGTACATTTCTTTATTTTCATACCATCTTTCAGTGTTCATTCATTCATCTCCATATTCTTTTGCATGCAGGTGCAAATTCTGGCTACTTCACTGTTGAATTGCATCACGGAGGAAATTTTTATGCTAAGCCAAACAATTTGGCATATGAACATGGATTTGTGCTTTTCTTCGATTTCTCCCATGCCTCATTGTTTACGAAAAGTAGTTTGATGAAGTTCTTAAATACAGTTGATCATGATTTGATGTTGGAGTTTTACTCCAAAAAATGAAAAATGAGTTTAGGGAAGGGGTTGACTAGATTGAAGAGCGAGAAGGATATTAAAGAAATGCTTAGGGATAGAGATGGGCATCCAATAGCGCAGATATATGTTGTAGCCCCATTGCAATTGTATGCATTGCCATTGTATGCATCGATCTCAGAAGTTGATACGCAATGCGATAAACTACAAACATTTGAAAGTTGTTATGTACCTTTCATGGAAGAGAACAAGGGTGGAGAGCCTGAAATTGTTTGGTGGAATCTGATTACGAGTTGAGGATCAGCCAGCGTTTAATGCTGAAATCGAAAATGAAATGGTTAATTTTGATTTTGGATTTGGTGTGGCAAATGAGCATCAGGTTAAGGGTTTGGATACCGACTATGGGGACTCCGATGAGTTTTGAAGCATTGATTGTACGGATGAGGATGATAAAACTTAAAGAAGAAAAGCTTCAACTGATGCTTTCAATTCAAGGACTGATATGGAGGATCTAAAGTTCAGATGAGGTAAATTCAGCACAATCTTTACCTTACTTTTAACCTTTTTTCTATGGATGACTGATATAATTCTATTTTCTAATTGTTAGGGTTGGTATTTGAGTCCAAGTCTTTGTTGAAGGCTGTCATCACTTCACATTCAGTTAGAAGCAATAGAAAGATTAAATACAAGAAGGACTGTCTCTGGGTGTTTTATACTACCAAGGAGCATAACAAGACAAGTTGGGTGATCAAAACATATGTGGAAGAGCATACGTGCCCAATGGTGTATATGAATTTTAGAGTAAGCTCCACTTATTTAGCATATAAGTATTTATCTGACTGGAGGTTTGAACCAAATATGTCGATGAGCACATTCATGGAGAGGGTGAAAAGGGATAGTTTGAATGATATCTTATATTGGCAAGTGTATAGAACAAAGGAGAAAACACTTGAAAAGATTAGGGGGACTGTGGTGGACCATTACAAAGTACTGTGGTATTACTGTAAGGAGTTGAAGCGGACAAGTAGTAGGACCACTGTTTTAGTTGATGGCTCTATTGGAGAATTCAGATGGTTGTATATTTGCCTTGGAGCTTTGAAAGAGGGTTTCATTAGAGGGTGTAGAAGAGTGATTGGTCTAGATGGTTGTTTTTTGAAGACAGAGTAGGTGGGCAGTTGTTATCTGATGTTGGTATGGATGCTAATAATTGTATGTATCCAGTATCATATGCAATTGTTGAGGTTGAGAATGGAGATAACTGGAGATGGTTTTTGGAGTTGGTGAAGGATGATTTGCATATACACAATGGCTTGTACTGGATATTCATTTCAGATAAGCAAAAGAGGTTGATTAATGCGATCGAGTCTTTATTTGAGGGTTCAAAGCATAGAACATGTGTTAGACATCTATACAACAATTTCAGTGTCTTGTATATAGGATTGGCTTTCAAGCATTGTTTTAGGATGTAGCCAGAGCTAAAACTGTGTCACAGTGGCTTGAACACATGCAAAAGATGTTAAATCTGAACTCGACTGCATATTGTTGACTTAAACCAAAACTAGCATCCCATTAGAGTAAATCCTACTTCAGAGAATTGATTCAGTGTGACATGCTTTTAAACAATTTGTGTGAATTGTTCAACAGCACAATTGTCAGTGCAAGAGAGAAGCCCATTTTAACCATGCTTGAGGAGATTATGTTGTATTTGATGAAGAGAATTGTAGCCCGTAGAGAGTCATATGATAGATGGACATCATTAGTAGGCCCTAGAATCCAAAAGATTCTCGATAAGCACAGTACACTGTTAAATTTTGAGTAGGCGAAATATGGGAGGAATGAGAAGTTCCAAGATCGACACAATGCAGGCATTGTACTACATGTTGTTGACCTTAGGGCAAGGACTTGTACATGTCGTTCTTGACAGTTATCAGGAATCCTTTGTTGCCATGTGATTGCCTCGGTGGTATCTAAAGGCCTTTGTGTAATTGCTTATGTATATGCCATCTACAAAAAGGATTCCTACCTGATCACATATAAGCCTTCAATTTTTCCCATCACTAGTCCGGACTCATGGCCTAGTCCGGGTCTCAACCCACTTAGACCACCTGTGTACACCAAAAAGTCTGGGAGGCTAAAAAAGAACAGAAGAAAATAGCCAACTGAAGTGGAGTCTTCAATTCTGGCGAAGAAGTCCTGAACGTTTTTGCAAAAGGACATCCCTTTGGAGACAACTTCAGTAGGCATATCTAGTGTAGGGAAGAGAACAACCCAAACTCAGACATGTCGAAAATGTGGTTAGCCAGGCACAATAGGAGGAGCTGTAAAGGGCGCAACCACCACCAAGCAATTAGGGATAGTCTGTTCTGTGTTTAAAATTTGTTTTTGTTTAATGTGGTTGTAGTGCCAACCTAAAACGTTGTTGAATTGTAAATTTCTTTGTTCATGTGTCTGAATTATCGGCAGTATAACAACCAAAACTGGTGTTTCTAAAAGTCTCCATTTTGCTAATTGTAGATGCAAATTTGGTTCACTCTTAATTCTGATGAAGTTTTTTTATTCGGTATATTTTGTTGTTGTTTTAAATTTTTAGTTTGACCAGTATGTTGAGTTGCTATGGTTGATTAGTATCTTGAGTTGATGTGGTTGGTTAGTGTCTTGAGTTGCTGTGGTTGATTACGATCATTCTGTTGTTGTGAATGGAAAGGAAGCTTACAGGATAAAACATGGACATTTTTCACAGAAATCTGAAATGCAGGGACGTTATGTGCTAAAATAGTCAAAACTTAGGGACGTTTCTGAAACAATCTTTGAAACATTGGGATGTTTTACGCAAAAGATTTTGTAACGTAGTGACTTTTTCACATGTTCAAATTTGGGGAAAAACAGATTGACAGCTTCAGCTTCCGATGCAGAATTCTAGGACTGAGATTTGTGATTTTGGATATCGGTTTGTGAGGATAGTAGTATGGATGGGAGAATGTGTGGAAGCCAAAATTCGATTTTCGAAAATGTGTTAGCCATGGTGATGATGAACAATGGACTTTCAAAAATGTATCAGCCATGGTAATGATGATGATGAACAGTGGTTTCAACCGTTTGTTTAAATGAAATCTTTTTTTTTTCTTTTTTTTTTTAGAATAACCTGTTTATGACTCTATATGATATGGACTCCATTCAGAGGATTCTTGACCATTTTTTGGTCATGGATCATGTGGTTGGCGGTGCATCCCCAGGTTCAGTTGATGACGCCCAACTGCTGAGATTACCATCACTGACACCGATCACGATAGCCAAGCTAATTGATGGGTACCTTGCGGAGGTTGCCCCCCAGATGTCAATCTGAAGCTCCCCAAGTTTCAGTCCCTTGTTGCAGCTGTTCCTGAGTATGCAGACCCTTGGATGATGGTGGGAAGAAGAGGTTTTTGAAGTGGCCTGACCATACCCTTCGAGTTTCAAATTAAAAGTGAGTCCAAGTATGCATTTAACTGCAAAACTCACAGTAGATGGACGGAAGGGCATTTTCCATAATAAAACGTTGAAATAATGATGAAAATGCAAAAAATTGAAATGTAGAGATGTTTTGCACGCAAAAGGTCAAACGCAGGAACGTTTTGTGCTAATAAGCCATCACACAATCTCAATAAACATTTACCAAACACTTACGACAAAAAGGAAAATATAACATCAGGACAAAAGAATGTGATAAGCAAATGATTGCACAAATGATGGCTTGTTTCTCACTTGCATCACCACTACCCCATTAATCAATATAGTGCCTTCTACCAATCTGGCATCTCGCCACCAGATAATTCCACATCCCAAGAGTGTACAAATCTTGATTCATTTTTTCAAAACTTATTTTCAATCACATACTTTTATAAAATAATTTAAACATAAATCTATTTTTTTTCCTTTTTAACCACACATTTTTCAAAAAATGACTAATCTAATTTTATTTTTTTTAAAATTAAAATGGGATTCAAATAAGGGCATAAAAAGGGGCTATTTCCCTCCCAAAGAAGGATAAAAAAAATTTGATTGAGTTTAGATATTTCACAGCTCCTAAGCTTATACCTAATTTGTTTATCTTATTCAATATTTAAAAACCTCATTTTAATCAATAAATGTGGACCTATAAAGTTGCTTTGTAAATGATAACGTTAAATCTTGGAACAAACATTCCAAACTTTCAATTAATGAATGGAATTGGTCCTCTTGGATGGTTTTTCATACAATTGACGGTTAAAAATGTCAAGCTTTTGATAAAAGACCCTTATTTCTAGTTAAAGTACATAAAAAATAAAACAAAAAAAGTCAAAAATAAAAATTGAAAAAAATGATAAAAAGAAAAGGGAACTCATCCTATCAACATCTCTCTCATAAGAGGACTCCATTGCAAACTGTGAAATGCTTTAAAAATTGTCATGTAAGTAAAATGTAATGTATTATAAAAATGTTGAAAAATTCGAAATTGGTTGTGAACAATTTAAGTGATTGTTTAAGTGGAATTTTTTATTTAGTGAATGAGAAATTAAGCCAAACTTAAAATACTTAAATGCTTGAAATTGTTGAAAATTATATAGAATATTGTGGAATATTCTAGAGAATGAGTAGA